ACCAGTCACTTCACTTGGTATATATGAGGGTTTACAACCACTTTAACTAGTGTTTAGGTATAACAAGGTCTCTCATGCTACAAACAAGCCAGACCGATTTCCTCTTTTCCTCATTGCTGAACCAGTCATTAAAAACCTGTTAAGATAGTGGCAGACATGGATTCTCTAGAAAATTCCACAGAGATTTATAGGGTAAAATTGTCTCTTAGAAAACACTTAGAAATATTATGAGGGTGAGTCATTATTTATCCAGACTTTTACTATAATATATAATCTTTAGGATGTCTGTAATAATTTCTGCATGCGCATGTCAAGAGATGATGCCTTTGTCATTGTTTTTTTGAATATTTATTTATTATATTTTTTATATTAAATTTTTTTTTATATACATACAGTACAAAAAAAAAAACTAAATCAGTCATATATCTTATCACAACATATACATCGACTTTAACCCCCTACCCACCCACCCCTCTATACCCTTCCCTCCCTGTCCAATTGAGTCTTACCATCTCCTTCTTCTTCCTGTTTATCAACCCGCATCTGTAGTCTTATTTTCTGTAATTCAGTTATCTAGTTTAACCACCTTAATTCTCCGGCTCTACTACCAGGGGCTCCCTCATTTTCAGATATTTTTCCGATGTTTTAAATTCATACCAAATACTACATTCTTTTCTACGTTTATCCATTTTATCTTCCTCTATATGGCTTAACTCCTCCATCCTATTAATATAGTCAATTCTATCTATCCAGTCATTCATTGTTGGGGGGTCCTGGGCCTACCTAAACTTAGGAATCAAACTCTTTGCCACACTGATCAGATGGTATAATATACTATTTTTATATTGCTTCTCTGAGATTTCAGTCTTATGAAAAAGACATACCCACAGATCTTTCTGAATAGATATCTCTAAAATCTCCTGTATGTATTGGATTATATCCTGCCAAAACACCTGTATTTTTGGACAATCCCACTATATTTGGGCCATTGTCTCTATTTCCCCACATCCCCTCCAACACAATGGTGATAGTTATCCTCGCTATTTGTGTGCCACACTCCGTGTACAATACCATCTAGACAAACATTTATAATTCATTTCGACTGTGTTCATATTCATCACCCCGTGCACTAACTTAAACATTTTAATCTTCTGTTGATCATTTATTCTTGTACCCAATTCTATTTCCCATTTATTCAGGAACAACGGAGAATCAGTTTTCATTAGTTCATTTAGGATCTTATAAATCCTAGAAGTTATATGTTTACAAGCTGGAACTCAACATTTTTTCAAAAGGAAGCATATCCTCCGCCGTCCTCAACGGTTTGGAGAGTGTTGAGACAAAATGTTCTGACAATATCTCAATTCATCTAATACTAAAAATAAATCCTTTTTATTCCTTAATTCGTGAAAAGTGCATAACTTCCCTCTATCCACTATATCTCCCAAACGTGCGTTCCTATCTTTAAACCATTTACCAGAGACATTCCCTCTCCTTGGGGGGAAAAAAATCTGTATCCACCAACGGCAACAATAAAGAGTTTATACTTCCACCCCATAGACTTGTGCAAACCATCCCAAATTCTCAACACTTCCCGCGACGGTGTACTACTATTTTCATCTAAACCCCGAAACTTATGTGGAATCCAAATGATCCTCTCTAATTGTGAATTACTTAATTTAGCTTCCATTTTAACCCAACTTACCTCTCGTGAGTTATATGCCCAATTGACCATTCATGATAATAACACCGACATGTAATACTTCTTCATATTTGGCAGGTTTAATCCTCCTTTCTCTTTGTTGTGACATAAAGTTTCACATCAAATTCTTGGTTTCTTATTAGCCCATATGAACCTCGATATCAGTTTTCTTATTATCCTAAAAAAAGACCCAGGTAATTTTATTGGAAGCATTTGCAACTTATATAATTTTTGAGATTATTACCACCTTGACCAGATTTATACGCCTGATCCATGAGATCCACCCCCCCGAGAGTCTTCTCAACTCATCTTTAATTTAATTTTCTTTGTGGTATATAGTTATAACCTGGTACATATCCTTTATAACGGGGGTCAACTTTATTCTCAAATAACCTAATTCCCTTTCCCTCCAAGTAAATGGAAAGTCTTCTTTTAAGTTCATCCTCTCTGCCTTTGATATGTTAATATTCAGAATCTCAGATTTTGTGGGGTTTATTTTTTAAATTCAATAACTCCCCATAATGTTTTAATAGCCACATTAAGTTAGGTAGTGTAAATTTAGTTTTCACAATATAAAACAGCATATCATGTGTGTAGCAAACTTGCTCATCAGAGTTGGACGCGGAGTTCCCCTTTTTTATTAGGAGTATTCCTCAATCCTTTATTTCCTACCCCCTCCCTTCCTGAGAGGCACAGGGACAGATGTGTAAGTGTTAAAAGTTGCTGGCAGGCTGGAGCAGCAGGGGGCCCAGCGCTACAAAGCCCCCCCATAGAGACAGCAGACACTCTGTCCCAAGGCCTGAGTAGAATATCACACCTCCTAATCAAGATAAGATATAGTTTTTTCCCAGGACTTGAAAGAAGTCGGAACCTCATAAAACCGTAAAAAACAGTTAAAGGTGACAGAATGAAATGAACATTCCTCAAGTCAGGTTTTTCCCCTATGTTTCATGTCATGGATTATGACAGATGTTGGTTCTAATTCAGAGTTCGCCCGACTGACCCCTCCCAAAACAGCGGATTGGCCAGTGTTCAGAGCCACCCCCCCCCCCCTGCAGGGGGACTTTACAAGACAGGCTGGCAAGCCTAAAAAGTTAAGCTAAAGAGATCTCCTAATTTTAACATCGTAACAGCAGGAGGTCAAAGACCCTTTCTGCTCTGCAACTTGGATCTGCTTACCTTAAGGCTTAACATGGCAAATAACTTAACCTTTTAACTTCTTCCTGTTATCTCTTTGCTGTGCTGGGCTGTTCCTATCTTTTATATATAAATATATATATCTAGTTACATTTTCTTTGTAAATATTTTATTGCACCTGTTTGACTCTTTTAGTAATGAACCTTTCTTTCTGAAAGTGTTAAACTGTTTCTAAGTGCTTACTTGCAATTCACGAATTCCTGCCTTTTGAAGAGACGCTACTGTGTTTGTTTAATCCTCTGCCCAATCGGCCTGCAGAGACCGTATTGGACAGGCGACTTTTCAACCATTACAGTGTATATTTTATAAAGAGAGTTTCCCCTTTCTCTGTACAAAAAGGGGTGGTGGCAGTGAAGGGTTAGTTGCGTATTAACCCGACCCAGTAACAAGCGCATTCAGGCTGCCGGTGCGTCGATTGCGTTCCATTAGCTGGACAATCGTTGTGCAGGGCGCAGCTGAGTTTGGCATTGTTACACACGTCACATCGCGGTTTTAGATCGGCCGGTCCTTTGGTCACGAGTTTGGTGAGAAGGTCTGGGGCCTGACGCCGCGGGCGTGACGTATTATTGTTGGTTGCAGTCGTGCGATTGTCACATGTTCAGGGTGGCGATCGGGCGACCGTGACAATGTGCATATGCTGCTACCTTATGTTCCACTCCTCCTATCTTAATTCCTGTAATATCTATATTCTCTCTTACCAACTCCAAATTTTCAAACGTGGTTCCAGGGATAATACAAATAATAACGGGGATAGTAGACATCCCTGCCTGGTTCCATTATACATTCTAAAGGTCTCCGACAGGGATCCATTAATCTTCACGGCTGACGGACAATTATAGAGCCCTTTTATCCACCTCAACATTTATCCGCCTCCAGCGTATTTTTCATGAACCCCCAATCCACCCTATCAAAAGCTTTTTCTGCATTAATTGACAAATATAATTGTTGGCTGCCTGCTTCTTTTTGCACTTTGCAAAAGGAGCAGTGTTCTGAGACCATTATCTCTTCCTTCCCTTCCTGGGATGAATCCTACCTGATCTAAATGTATCCATTCCTGCATAAATTCTTTCAACCTGGTAGCTAATTCTTTTGCAAACAATTTAGTATCGGTATTTAATAATGATATGGGTTTATAACTAGCACACTGTGAGCTATCTTTCCCCTCTTCAAGAATAATTGTTATATGTGCATGTAATGATTCCTCTCTCATTTCCCTGCCCTCTCCTAACGCGTTCATATATCTAGTTTAGAGACCAGTAATTCTTGGAATTTTTTATAGTACCCCACTGTAAAACCATCAGGGTCAGGACTTTTTCCCCCTTGCTGTACTCTTCAATGCAAAACTTGATTTCATACTGGGAAATAACTTGTTCTAGGGATGCTAATTTATCTTCTGCAATTTTTGGTAGATCTGCTGCCATTAAAAATTATTGTCTTCTCCTCCTCTTCTCTTCCTCTGTTATTTTTGAATTTATAGGGTTGAGCTCAAACAGCCTACTGCAAAACTTCTGAAACATATCAGAGTAAACCAATTCCCCATTTTCCTCCCTAATTTTTTCTATATAATTTTTTGATTTCTTCTTCTTCAGTGTCTTCATCAAAAATGTCCCTGGTCTATTCCCCCACTGGTATCTCTCTTTTGATACTCTATTGAAGACCTTCCCCGTTTCCTGTTCTAATAGATCCTTCAATTCTTCTCTTTTAAGGGTAATCTTCCTATACAAATCTATATCCTGCTTTTTTTTTTATTTACCTGTTCTAGTTTATGCAATTCCTCAACTACCTCTTTTAATTTCCTCTCTCGTTCTCTATTTTTTTTTGATCCAGCTGCAGTCAAGATTCCCCTGATAGGGGCATGATCCGATAAAGTCATAACCTCTATATTAGATTTAGCCAAAGATTACAACTGTCTATGCTCTATTAATGCATATTCCAATTGTGAGTATGATCTGTGCACACAGGAGAAGAAAGTATAGTCCCTTTCTCTGGGATGTTTCTCCAAGTATCTATTAGCTGATTTTGATGAAACCCCCTTTTCAGCCTTCTTAGTTTTCCTCCTCCCCCCCTCTGTGCACCCACTGACGTATCCATCTATGGATCCAGACAACAATTGAAATCTCCTGCCATGATCAGATTACCTTAACCACTTGCTGTATATAAACGGCCAGATGGTGGCAGTCCAGGGGCGGGTTGCCATTCATAAACGGCACCCGCCATTATGGACAGTGCTCCCTGGGAGCGTGCAGCACTGTGATCCGGTGACCGCTGTCTCCTCCGGACACAGAGGAACACCGATCGTCGTACGGGACCTCTGTGCGAGGGTCCCGATCATGTGATCACTGATTGGCCAATCATTGATCACATGCAGAGTAGTAAGCAAGATGTCACTCCTGACATCATTGCTTACTACGTGTGAAATCTGTGAATGATCACAGAGGTCACATGGTACAAGGCTATTCACAACAGCCTTGTACCATGTGACAAGCTGTAACCAATCACAGCTCACACAGTAGTTCTCAATGGCTGCAAGAATGCAGCCAGAGAGAAGGAGAAATGATTGATTTTACAGCCTTTATGGGTGTAAAAGCAATCAGTGTAAAAAAAAAAAAAAAAAATCTTCATCACCCCCCACAAGTAGTACAGTGTCCTCATGGTGACACTGTACTGCTAGGGTGACAGTATGTAGAAACAAAACCCCATAAATAATAATATAAAAAATAAAATAAAAATGTAAAATTTTTTTTTTAAAAAATTATAATTTTTGGTTATAAATTAATTTGGGTTTTTTTTTTTTACTAAAAAGATAACTGAATAAATTTTGGCCAAGATTATTTATTTGCTAAATTTTATAAGAAAAACACTTTTTTTCAAAATGTTTGGACTTTTTCATTTATATAGCAAAAAAATAAAAAATTCCAGTGGTGAATAAATACCACCAAAATAAACTTTGTCTCAAAAAAAAGCTAAAAATTCATGTGGGTACAGTGTTGCATGACCACGCAATTGTCATTCAAAGTGTGATAGCGCTTAACCACTTCCAGACCGGACACTTTTACCCCCTTCCTGACCAGGGCAATTTTCAGCTTTCAGCGCTATCACACTTTGAATGACAATTGCGCAGTCATGCAACACTGTACCCAAATAAATTTTTTACCATTTTTTTGCGACATGTAAAGCTTTATTTTGGTGGTATTTATTCACTGCTGGGATTTTTATTTTTTTTGCTATGTAAATGAAAAAGTCCAAAAATTTTGAACAAAAGTGTTTTTTTATAAAATTTTGCAAATAAATAATATTTCATCATAAATCTTTGCCAAAATGTATTTCGTTATCTTTTTAGTAAAAAAAAACCCAAAAACAAATTAGTTTATAACCAAAAATTATAATTTTTAAACATTTTTTTTTACATTTTTATTTTATTTTTTTTATATTATTATTTTTTATTTATTTATTTATTTTTTTTACATACTGTCACCCTAGCAGTACAGTGTCAAAAAAAATTAGTTTATAACCAAAAATTATAATTTTTAAAAACATTTTTTTTTACATTTTTATTTTATTTTTTTATATTATTATTTTTTATTTATATTTATTTATTTTTTACATACTGTCACCCTAGCAGTACAGTGTCACCATAGTGACACTGTACTACTTGTGGAGGGTGATGAAGATTTTTTTTTTTTTTTTTTTTACAATGATTGCTTTTACACCCATATAGAATGTAAAAGCAATCATTTCTCTTTCTCTCTGTGTGCATTCCTGCACTCATTGAGAAATACAGAGTGAGCTGTGATTGGTCACAGCTTGTCACATGGTACAAGGCTGTTGTGAATAGCCTTGTACCATGTGACCTCTGTGATCATTCACAGATTTCACACGTAGTAAGCAATGATGTCACAAGTGACATCTTGCTTACTACTTTGCATGTGATCACTGATTGGCCAATCAGTGATCACATGATCGGGACCTCGTACAGAGGTCCCGTCCGACGATCGGTGTTTCACTGTGTCCGGAGGACACAGCGGGCACCGGATCGCGGTGCTGCGCGCTCCCAGGGAGCGCGCACAAGCAGGGTGCGGGGAGGCCGTTCATAAACGGCCACCCGACCCTGTACTGCCACCGTCCGGCCGTTTATATGCAACGGCCGGTCGGGAAGTGGTTAAAGCTGAAAATTGGCCTGGACAGGAAGGGGGTAAAAGTGTCCGGACTAGAAGAGGTTAAATTCCTTAATTTTCTCGAACAATTCTAGGAGGAAATCCTCTGGGTTTTTATTTGGGCAATAAATATTTACCAATGTGTATTTTTGTACTTGCAGTTTCCCTCTTAAACCTAAGTAACGCCCCTCTGGATCCACCATTCTTCCCTCAACCTCAAAATTTATATTTTTAGCAAATCCAATTGCAACTCCTTTAGCCTTCTTTATTGGTGAATCCGCGTAATACCAGGTTGGATGGGACCTCGAATATAGCTTCACGTTGGAATCATAAGAGAGATGTGTCTCTTGTAAAAAAACCCCACCTCTATAGAATGTTGATGTACTTCCATTGTGCCTTTTAGTCAGAGAATTTAGACCTTTCACATTATAAGTTATAATATTAATCAAACTAATAACTGATAATTATTTCTCTTTCTATGCACATTTCCATTTACACGGAGGGAAAACAAAGACTATTTGACTCATGGACAACCCTACCCCAAATTTCCCCCCCCCCCCCACTCTCCCCCTCCCTCCCCATTTCCTCCCCCCGCCCCACCCCATCCATAAAACCTCCTGGCCTATACATTGCCCTAGAATCTGAAATGGGACCCCCCCCCCCCCCCCCACTGGCGATTCCTGATTTGGGGTATGATTCTGAACATACCCATCATTCTTGGCCCCCTGTTCTCAACATGAGGGCTTCCCTTTTCTTCCTCTATATCAAAACCTAAGAGGGCTCCAGACGCCCCACTATTACTATAGAGTCTTACTGCACTGCTTCTAAAACAAACAAAAAGGTGAGGGGGAACATGGACGAAGAAAGGACAAAAGAAAGAAGAAAGAAAAAAAAGGGGGAGGAGGAAAGTGGAAAAAAATCACTATTTGGACTCCTCCTCCTTGTTTCTCTTCTCCCTTCCCCCCACCCCCCAGTCCCACCCCAACTACCTTCTTCTTCTATTAACTTGCTGTCATTTCTCACTTCTTATCTAATTTTTCACAGAAGTCTCTTAATTACTCCTTGAATCTCAATCTTGCCGACTTCCCATCTTTCCACCCCATCAAACATGCCGGGAACCCCCAGTTGTATCGGACCCCTTTTTCTCTCATCTGATCTAATAACTGCTTCAGTATTCTTCTTCTAGTCTCATAAGCAATATCCACAAAAAATCTGCACATTTGCGCCTCTGAATTTTATTTCACTGTCTCGCTGTGGGAAGAAAGCCGGTCCTCCTCTCTCTGCTCCTGTCTGCCCACCTCCAGGTCTGGCTTTCATAAAGTTTGTGCAAAAGTCTTAAACAACTCACTGAAGAGCCAACCATCTGGCCATCTGTCAATGCCTACTAGCATGCAATGCTAACAAAGATGAAGCTTTTTTTTTAAAAAAAGGAGTCACTGGAGATGAAATGTGGATTCATCAATGATACAAAGCAAATACCCCAGTATGGAATAGAAACACCCAGAATTGGCAGTCAAGAAAAAAATTCAAAACTCAACCCTCTGCAGAAAATGTAATTCTCACAGTATTTGGAACTCACAAGGGCCAATAATGGAACATTATTTGGAGAAAGGCTCACAGTGCATGTTACAGAGAGATGCTGTGTGACAAACCTGCAATTCAAACCAAACGCTGAGGCCTATCATCGAAAGATGTTTTGTTGTTGCATGACAATGCATGCTTTCACAGTACCATCTACAATGTTCAAACACTTCAGAAACTGGGTTATAAGGTATTGGAGTACCCTGCATATAGTCCAGATCTTTTTCCATCAGATTCCCATTTGTTTTGTCCACAGACCAATGAGTGCTAGAAGTGGTGCATACATGGCCGAGAGGCATACTAAAAAAACTATTTTTCTTCCACAAGTATATACAACCTTATGGAATGCTGGAACAAGTGATTTGAAAAGCAAGTGGGGAAGGGGACCATGTTGATAAAAGTATGTAACTATATGTTCTCTACTGTTGTTCTAATAAATTATAGAAATAGTGTGGATAATTGACTCACCCTCATATATTTGGGCCATGCCAAAAAAAATCTCAAGAGCTGGCTGGTCTAAGGCATTTTTTGTTTATTATATGACAATAAGAACTGTACATTGTGAACAATGCCAAACTCAGGTCTAAGCATCAGCCATGCCTTAAAAAAGAAGTATGGGAATTAAAAAAAAAACAACCATACATACTCACCTAGTTGGATGCAGCATAGGTCTGACTGTCAGTCACCAGCTGTCTGCTATGCCCCTCCAGTGCTCACTGGAGCCCTGGACTGTGGAGGGGATGAACATGGCTGGCTGAGCCAGCTGCTGGTCAGAAAACTGTGTAGATCCAAAATTTAACCAGTTGCCAACCGCAGATAGCCGAATGACGGCTACACTGCGACCGGCCAGTTCTGGGAGGGCGTCATATGACATCCTCCCAGAACGCGCTCTCCTGCGCGCCCCCTGGGGCACTCACCTGACGATTTCTGTGATTGCTGTGTCCTACGGACACAGCTGATCATGTGATGTGGTAAAAGGCCAATCACAGTGGCTTTTTACCACGTGATCAGCCGTGTCCAATGACACGCTGATCACAGGGAAATGCAATTGCCAGTTCTCGGCTGCACTTTCCTCACGCTGTCAGAACCTGGGGAAAGTACTGCAGAGAACTGGCAGTTGTCAGAGCAGGGATCGGCACCGATCATCAGGGAACTGATGATCAGTGCCCAGCAGTGCCACCCACCAGTTCCACCCACCTGTGCCCAGCAGTGCCACCCACCAGTGCACAGCGGTGCCACCCACCAGTGCCCAGCGGTTCCACACACCTGTGTCACCCACCTGTGCCCATTAATGCCACCCACCTGTGCCCATCAGTGCCACCCACCTCTGCCTATCAATGCCACCCACCTCTGCCTATCAATGCCACCCACCGCTGCCCAGCAGTGCTGCCAGTCAGTGCCCAACAGTTGTGCCAGTCAGTGCCCAGCAGCTGCACCAGTCAGTACCCAGCAGTGCCGCCAGTCAGTGCCCAGCAGTGTGGCCAGTCAGTTCCACCTATCAGTGCCACCTATCCGTGCCACCTCATTAGTGCTGCCTATCAGTGCCGCCTATCAGTGCCCTTCAATGCTGCCTATCAGTGCCCATCAGTGCTGCCTATCAGTGCAGCCTCATCAAAGCATATCAGTAAAGGAGAAAAATTACCTGTTTGCAAAATTTTATAATAGAAACAAAGAAACCTTTTTTTCAAATTTTTTGCTCTATTTTTGTTTATAGCGC